TGTGAAGGTTGGCATAGTTTACTTCATAGAACTTGTCATGATGGGGAAGGAGAGGAAGCAGTTCATAGATACGGCCCTGTTAGGTGTTGTGGATCAGTGGGAGGCATTCTGCAACTATGACTGGAGTCCGATGATTTTTGATAGGACGATTTGGAGTCTCAAGAACGCCTTGAAGGATAAACTGTCGGCGTACCAACAGAAGGCAAGAGCGGACCCCACACACATTGAGACTTATAGTCTGTACGGGTTTCCCTACGCATTTCAGGTTAGCGAGGTTTAAGTCAACTGTATAATTTTATACATTATTTAACTGCACCATTTATTTGCCTTCCCTGGATTCCAGGTATAGGCGTATGAGACGATCTCGACGTTGAGCCTGCGACTAGCAACGAGGTTGAGCGATGACGCCATTCCTCAACTTCTCAGGTGGTCGTGCACTTATTCGCGCGGGTTTCGTGTGCTGGCGAATGAGATTTTCGATAACACGCGGGTAAGTAATTATCTTGTGGCCGTATGGTTCATATTTGGTTTTTCATTTCGATCTAATCATAGGTTTTTTGCAGTCCAAGGTTAAAGAACACTTGTTGGCGACGAATGCTGAGGAACAACACATGGTTCGTGTCATTCTTCCACCAGAAGCCCGTGTTATACCTGATCCGCCTACTGTACCTGATCGGGCTGTTGTACCTGACCCGCCTGCTTCACCTTATCGGGCTGCTGTACCTGATCCGCCCACTGATGTGGAAATGGGTCCTCTAGAGGATCCGGTAGTAGAGGCACATGCGGTAGACGAGGCTGGACCTAGTGCAAATGATGGTGAAGGGTTAGAGAAGAGGTCGAAGAAGAATAAATTCAAGAAGAGGATCAGCAGACGGTTGAAGAGGCTCGATAACCGTGTCGGTGCTATCGAGGACACACTGGGCGACTTTGGAGTCGCCCTAAAAGGTATTCAGAGATACCTGAAGAAACTGGCGAAGTTACTAATTTAATATGTATACAAATTTGTTTTTAATTATTACAATAATGCTCATGGGCCAATGTTTGGGTGCAAGGTAAATTCCCTGATCCGAGCAAGTATTTCGGAGGTAGGGGTGGGCCCGATGATGATGGTCCATCAGATCAAGGCCTGATGAGTCCCCGAAGCCAGATGGAGGTCGGAAGAGTTTGGACGAGGACCAGAGGCCTGATGAGGACCAGAGGACGGATGAAGACCTGGAGACTGAAAAGGAACCGACGTCAGGACATGGTTCGAATAGTATCGACGAGGATTCGAAGAGAAGGGACGATGATTCAATGATAACAGAGGAGGACGATGGTATGATAACGGATGGGGACGATGATCCAAATAAGGTAACTCGTACTTATTTTCCTCGTCGGATTATTTATGACCTTGTCTTACGTCATGTTATTTAATATTAGGACATTACGATCGGGAGACCGTCTGATGGCTCGGAAGTGGATCATGCAGATGACCATGGACCTCGGGTGGCTGTAATTCAGGTAACCACCTTCTGTAATGCTAGTATACATTCATGCTACCCATATTGTAATGTGATTAATATTTTTTGTGCATTAGGATCTCACCGTTGGCAGGAAAGAGCCGGATGCTCAACCAGATACACAGCCCA